CCTCTGCAGTCTACAAGTGCCATGAATAATTTTTCCAAGGGAAATAGCAGCAGTCCCATTGTTCAAGTGTCTAGACAAAGCGCTAATATCCGGTATGAAGCACAATCTTGCTTGCATCAGGGGAGAGTGATTGCAGGACTTAAGAGAGCTCTGCCAAAGAAGAAAGTAAGATGAGATGGCATCCAGCCTGACACTGGCAGCCTTGTTTTTCATCCTAGGAAAGACTGGTCAAAGAAAAAAGGGGAGTGACAGGGACTACATGGGCTCTGGATATCTTTTAAGTGGGGGTACTTTCTCCAGTATATTTGGGGTGGGGCCCTCCTATGGCACCAGTCATGATGCAGCCTTTTCCAAAGGTAAAGTATCTAGCAAGTTAGAACCACAACTGCCGTCATCCTCACCCAGCACACTACGTTTTATGTAGGTGATGGAACCTTAACACATCTGGAAAAGACTGCATTTAGGTTTTTTGGGAAAGGCGCTAAGCCTGGGGCATCACTTGGGGGAGCAAAGGCTACTGTCCACCCTCCCCCTGTCTCAGGCCAGCTCCTCTACAAGTTTCATCTGCTCAATGAGTCTACTTTAGTTGTGACTTACTACAGGATTTCAGCCACTGTTTCAATATATAAGCCTTCTACAGTTTCCTAATTCAGTTGTATTTTAATAATTTATGTTTTAATTATGTTTTAATACCATAACGTACCATGTTATCATTTGTACCATTTAATAATCATGTTGCCTTGGGTCCCAATTCTGGGGGAAGGGGGGAGAGTGAGATTGCTGTTACATGAAAAATCCAATTATTCTATAAACATTAATTAAGAACATCAGTATCTTGACCATTCTAAACAGATGTCTGTGTGACCTATGTTAGCTTCAGGCTGGAGTCTCCCAAAACTAGAAGAGATATTGTAGCTATACTGGTTGGGGGGGGGGGGGTTTCTGAGAACTGTATGTCAAAAATAGTAGCTGTTTTAAAGCTCTGATCAAACTAAAACTCATCATACGCAAGGTACCACTCCCTTTTGCTTTTCATTGAGTAGACCACATTCTAACAGCTTCAAGGAGGTAACATAAGAACATAACCCAAATCCCAGTAAAATTAAGTTCCATTTATATGTAAATGGTGTTGTATTCTTTACTCCAGACCAGTGATGCCCTGCCCATGAAAAACAGTCACTCAGTTAAGGCCTAGCCAATTATTTTTAGAAGTCTTAATGAATTGATTAAATCAGTTTAATCAAATGTCCCATTGCCAGAAAATGTGCATATCCATTACAACAGATCTGGGGGAGGAGGGAGTCATCTTACCAACATCCAGTTGTTAGACTCAGCTATAATCTATCGAATGAATGGAAATTTGGCAAGTCAACACCTAGATAAAGCTATTTAATCCACCGGTTTTTCTTTAGTTGACACTAACAATTGGATTTTAGGCTTTTGTTTTTAGAAGACACTTGGTGGGTTACAGCTAGTGCCAGAGAATAGGAAACAGCCTTCTTTAATGAGGCAATGTTCTAATGAATTTGTCCATGCATTTAAAAAAACAAAAACAAAGAGTAAAGCCTTTCTGCCCAGTTAACGAAGTGTTTATTTGTTTGTTTATAATATTTACATCCTGCCTTTCTCATAAATAGGACCCAAGACAGCTTTCATCATTAAAAAGAGGCAAAAGCTAAAACATTTAAATTATAATATTTAAGAAAGAACTAAACAAATATATTAAAAACTGTGAATAAAACCAGTACTAAAGAGACACATTAAAGCAACAAGTCAAAACCCATTTAAAACAAACAAACAAACAAAAACTCTTTCAGACAGCCATTCACTAAAGGAAAGCCTGCCTGAAGAGACAGGTCATCGCCTGCTTGTGGAAGGATAGCAAAGATGGGGTCAGCCTGGCTTCCTGTGGCAGGGAGTTCCGAAGTCTGGGAGCAGCAACAGAGAAGGCCCTCTCCTGTGTCCCCATCAAATGCACCTGTGAAGGTGGTGGGACCGTGAGAAAGGCCTCCATAGATGAGCTTAACTCCTGGGCAGGCTCATAAAGAAAGATGAAGTCTTTGAGATACTTTGGACCGAAGCTGTTTAGAGCTTTGTAGGTTAAAATTAGCGCTTTAAATTGTTCTTAGAAATGGACCAGCAGCTGGCTGTAGAAGGGTGGCAGTGGTTACATGATCCTTGTAACTAGCCTCACTTAAGAATCTGGCATTTTGGATCTGCTGGAGTTTCTGAACACATTCCAAAGACAGCCCCATGTAGGATGTGTTACAGTAATTCAGCTGAGATATACTGTAATTAAGGCATGTGTCCCTGTTACTGATCATGTATTATTTCTGTTTGTTGATCAACTGGTGAACCAAGTAAAGATTACAATTAATCTATCTTAAATGGGTTTCAAAAGGAAGACAAGTATGCTTTTTTCAGAGGTTATTTATTGTGGAATCTATGGTAATGAGGGTGTCTCTGTTATTTCTGAGCAGAAGTAAGAGGGACAAATGTCCCACCCCATTATGTAGCAAACTCTGAGAGGGAGCATTAGGGCCTCTCTGTCAAGTCCAGCAGTCCTGGTACCGTTCCTATACCCTTTCCCCTTGATTTGCACAGTCCAGAGCTGCATGGTTTTGGTTACACACAGATTTTTTTCAATACACGGATAAATATTTAAATAAATAAATAAATGTTCAATGAATACAGGGCCCCTGGCCACCGAGAACAGAGGGCATGGGTTCCATACCAAAGGTATTGAAGAGATCTACTTGCCCACAAACGCAGCATCTTTAATTCAGCCTCTGGATCAGAGAGTCATAAGTTTGTTTCTATACATGAGATGGGAGAGGAAAACACCCTTTTTTAGCAGAATGCTGTTGGATCATCCCAGGAAGGTGTGCGTCTGATGAAGCACCTCCTAACTGGGTACAGAGCTGATATCCAGGCCTTGGATCAGACGTCTCCAACTCGATAAGTTTCAGATATTTCTGATCTTCCCTAAATGACAAAAGCCCATGGCTAGGAGCCCTGAGAGGTCCTCAGGCTGCAGAAAGCTGGGCTAGACCTTAAGATGTGATGTGGAACGTACGTCTTTCTGGATGAATTGCAGTTCTCATCCACTTTAGTCAGCACAGCCAACCATGAGGGATGGCAATTGTAACCCGGAAAAATCTGGCAAGCCACAAATTGCCCCCCCCCTTTGCCCTAAGATGTGGCCAGCACCACAGGGAACCAGGTACCATGTGCTGCTTCGGCTAGCACAGACCTATGAAAAACGTCCTCTCTTCCTGTAGCAGCAGCAGCAGCTCAGGTGAATTTGATAAGGATGTTGCTGCCATAGTCTCTTCAATAAGATGTTTCCAGCTGGGTAAGTGAAAATGCCCTGATGGATCAGTCTGTTAAGAAGTTAACATGCTTTAGTGCAAGGTCTGGATATTCTCCTATTATCACAAACAGAGGTTACTGAACAGGGCATTTACTGCTGCGGTGCACGAGACATGCAAGCAAGTCATCTGGTGCAAGCCCATAGAAGAGAATCAAACTGCTGAAGAATGCTCTTGTTTATTCTCCTATTATCACAAACAGAGGTTACTAAACAGGGCATTTACTGCTGCAGTGCACGACAGACATGCAAGCAAGTCATCTGGTGTGAGCCCATAGAAGAAAATCAAACTGCTGAAGAATGCTCTTGTTCATTGCAATGTGGGGGTCCTTCCAAGTAGATTGTACCCTTTGTTTTTTGGGTTTCTTTAGTATCACCTACAAGCCCCCTTCATACTGCAGGCTAGGCATATTTTAAATGAAGCCCTGAACATATGTGCCAAAGGAGTGAACTCCATCAAACTCAGTGGGATTTGCTTCCCCCTTTCATACTACAGGCTAGGCATATTTTAGATGAAGTCCTGAACATATGTGCCAAAGGAGTGAACTCCATCAAATTCAGTGGGATTTGCTTCTTCGTAACCATGCCTTGGATTAAACTAAATACCCCATGGAAAGGAATTTTAAAAAGCTGAGACTAACTTCTTCCAGATATACTGGACTACAAATCCTATCACCCTCCAGCCCATGTGGCTGTTCTTTTTCTCTGCCCTCCGTTATTTATTGTTTTTCGATCCACAAACCTTAAGACTTAGGGACAGGCTGGCCATGTAACAACTTGCAGATCAGAGCCTTGGAAGCTGGTGTTTGCTGGATGTGTTGGACAAACAGCTGTGGATAATGGGAGTTGTAATCCAAGCCACCTAGAGAACGCTGTTGCTGAGCGTTTTGTTGCAATTCACATTTGTTAAATTAAGGCCACTGTGTTTTCTTGTAGAACATCCATATTAGCCAAAAAAGTGAGTAACAGCACAAAAAAGCATATTATAAATTAATCACTTTATTGAATATCAATAAATTGCATATAATTATATATATAAAAAAGTTCTTAATCAGTATAAAATTGTGGCACAAAAATATATAAATACCAGTGTACCTTTGAAATGTAAACATACCCTTTTCTTCTTCTTTTTGTTTATGGTGTGAAAACAATGTACAAAAGAAAAGATGCATTCAGGAGGCACCTGTCAATACCCATAAATAGCTCTTTTGGCACACACCTGTCAGTGGGCAGCCTTCTCTACATAGGCCCCTATTGTATCGCCTGACAAGTGCCCGCTATTAGTCACAGTTCCTTTGAAAAAGCATGTGTTAAAAGAAGTCATATTAGCAGGTGCTTGAGTGCATAGCTGCTCTGTAAACAGAAGTCTTGTTTGAAATGGCTACTCAATGCCTTCTATAGACATTGTTAATCTCTGAGGCATTGCAAATTATCATTGTGCTGGTGGGAGACGCAGCTGCCTCAGTGCTAACACTGTATTACTGCATAGTTACACCTTCTACAAGTAGTGTATATATAGTGATGACAGCAAGAGTGCGGCAGCAGGGGAGGGGTGTGTGTTGCTTTTATCTTTACTTCCCCCCCCCCCCCCAAGAGTGCGGCAGCAGGGGAGGGGTGTGTGTTGCTTTTATCCTTACTTCCCCCCCCCCCAGAGATGTATCAGCTCAGGGTCAACAGTTACTGCCAATTTATTATACTAATCCCTCACCGCCCCACAATAAGAAAAAATACTGCTATTCTTTAGGCCAGCGAGCTAAACTGCAAGGCTCAATCCTGAGTGATACTGAGCACCATCTGAACATTCTTATACTTGTAGGGGGCAGTGGTAAAGAACACATACAACTTTGATCAAAGCTTGGAAAAATTATTCCTGAACTGCAGTTCCCAGAAACTCCAAGCCAAACATGGTCATAATTTTTCCAAGCTCTGGTAAGGATGGCCTCTAGTTTAAATGGCTTTCAAATGGAAGACTAGAAAAATTCACAGGGGATAAGGCCCAATGGCTATTAGACACAACATTCCTAGCAGAACCTTCATCTTTGGTGGCAGTATACCCCCAAATACCAGATGCTAGGAGGAATTGGGGGAGAGGTAGACTAACCATCACTTTAACACACCTTGTGCAAGTTTGCAGAAGCTGGCTACCACTGAAAGATAGAATGCTAGGCAGATTTTGGTCACAGGCAATCTGGTTAGTTCAGTGAAACACATCCATGCTTGTCCTATTGTAAACCAGACATTTGCAAGGGAAACCATAGGATCCTGCACCTGCCTGAATCAGGATGCATTCTGCCACAATAGGGAAGGAAAGAAGGAAAGACAACTCAAGTTTTAAAGGCTCTCTAAGGAAGTTTTTAAAAAAAGGATATGCATGGTATTTTAAGGCCTGAAGCATCTGGAAATAACAGTACAATACATGCTGTGTTGGCAACTCAACGGAATTATCTTCCTACAGACACTAATTACAAGAATATGTATTTGTATCGAGGAGTCCGTGGGGATATGCACGCACGCACATGCATGGGGAGCTCTCAGCGAGTTCCGCTGCATCCCGTTTCTTCATGTTTGTGGAGAAGTGACATGCGGGAGAAAGTCCGAGAGCAGGTTTTGCACTGATACTTCTTGACCTCAGAGTGGGTCTGAAGATGGGCCCGGAGGTTGGAGCGGTCTGCAAAAGCTCTGTTGCAATGTGTGCAGGAAAAAGGTTTCTCTCCTACAAAGGCAAGAGAAGAAAGGGTGGTCAGCCACAGGTTCAAACATCTGGATCTTTTGCAAGCAACTGTTTCAGAAAAGACATCACAAAATAAAACAAAATACAAATATCCACTACTAACATTTTTATAGCCCTTTTCCAAGTCTTTCGATCACACAAATTATATCACTTTGGCAGATTGAAATAAGCTAGAGAAGGCAACAGTTCTATGTCTCCTTTAATGGCAAGCTCAACTAATTGCTTAGAAATAAATGGTGCAGAAGCTCTTAAGGGCCATTTCTACATAAACAAAGGCATTAAAATTACAGTTTTAAGTTAAACAGGCATAGGTTTATTTGAAAATGAGTGCAGTAGATCTACATGAGATTAAGCAACTTTGCATCCTCTTGAGGTCAGAGGAAAAAAGCAGGATGTATACTTTTTTCCTTCTTTGAAGTAAAAGCATGATTGCACCTACAGAGCCCAACTGGTCTGAGATCCAGTAAGTATGCTGAGGTTTGTATACTAAAGCCGCAATTCTATACACATTTATCTAGGGAATAAGTTTCATGGACCACAGTGGGGCTTACTTTTAAGTAAGCATAGAGAGCATTAGATTGCACCACTGCACGCGTCTCCTCAGCTTGTGCTAACCCACTCATGATCTGCATCGGACCAGAATTTGGGGAAGTTACTTTGTTGGTCTGCAGACATCCAAACCTCCTAGCCAGCTCTGTTGAGCGAGCAATTCTGGTAGCTTGGGGAGGTGCTGGGGGTGGGTGGGTGGATAGGACTCTCCTAAGCTCTGCAACTGCCAGTGCAACAGACCATCCAGCTGAAGAACATTAATTCTGCAAGATGCAAATGCTCTCATTGGACAACTTACTGTAGTATCAACAGTGCAAAAAATGAACCGCATCAGCCTGGCAGTCTCACAATACCAAAAACAGAGCCAGATCCCTCCCAAATGCTCACTCCCCCCCCCTCATAAACTCCTTGCTAAAAAGGATAAAGTGGGGGGGGGGACAAATTCCTATCTGAGAAATTTTTTGGGAACTAACCCACAGGACATGCTCAATTGGGAAAGCACAATTAAGCCTTTCTGGCTTTCTTCAGGCATCATCTTCAGCACTTTTAAGAAGGTGTGAAATCAGCACTGAGTAACAATTAAACGATCCCACACCCCACCAGCACAAAAGCCGCTTGGAGCAAGATGCATTGTAAATGTGATACTCTCTGGATTAAAAGCTCAAAAAGCTCCCACAGGCTGGCAGCTGGGAAGTCTGGTGTTCAGCCCCCCAGGCATTACAGTAGCAGGTGCACGCAGGGAAGAGCGGCAGTGCTCCATTAAAGCACCTGCCTGGGCAGCAGCTCCCTGCCCACCCGCCCGCCTGCCTGCCCGCTCGCCTGCTGGCCACCTCCACTCTTTTCCAAGATCCCTGCCTGCTTCCTCCTCCAAGGCACCATTAGGCCAATTATGCAGATCAATAAGGACTAGAGTGATGCATCTCAGTAAGCTTTGTGCTGAGAAAGATAAGCTTGACTGTCTTGACAGGAGAGGACCTGTTTTAGGAATCTTTTCACCCAGGCCATTATGTCTTTATGAAGATGGGAAGAGCTGCCCTTCCCCTCTCCCCCAGGGAACCTAGGCAACACTTATCACCTTGCATAGGGCTTTGCTATGGGAAACAAAGTCAGGGTAAGGAAGGTGCTATCTGGCATTCCAACCTAGGAGTCATCTCTCCCCAGGCAAGGGGAAGCACATGCCTCAGCCCCTGTGTTGACATTACAGATGCCTGCAAGCTGCCAGTGGACGGCAAGGCAGGCACAAAGCCCTTGCAGTCAGATGGCCCCTTTGTGCACAGAGTGACTCAAGGCTGATTCACATGACTGAGTGCCTGCTGAGTCGACTGGTTAGCCAAGCTGTGTTTGCCTGCCTGGAGAGATGTGGTTATGGGATCACTTCCCCAGATTGATTGGGCCATTCTGAATCACGACTCCAGGGAAAGAGGAGGAGGGCGGGGGACTGGAGTGCACCCTGAGCTAATCACTCGCATATTACTGCTAGTTCCAAGTAGAGTAGTCCCATTGATTCAATCAAATGTACATAACACTGTTCAGCAACCGATTCAATAAGTCTATTCTAGTAATAGGAAACAGCAGCAGGATCCCGGTTGTAGCGCATGTGGGGAGCACAAATACAAGCAAAGACCATGCCTGAACACACATCAGCCCAAACATGCACGAAATTCCCCTCATGGGCAGTTTGCAAATGAAGAATTGTGCTGGGATGGTTTTGGCTTGTAAAAGCTGGCTAAGTAGTTCGGGAGGCAGCAGGAAAAGAAGACCAAATACAAGACGGACTGACTCCCTAAAGGAAGCCACAGACTTGAGTATACAAGACCTGAGCAGGGCATTCAAAGATGAGACATTTTGGAGATCACTCATTCCTAGGGCTGCCATACATTGGAGGCAAATTGACAGCACATAACAAGTAGTTCAGGAATTGAAAATGTTGCTTTTGGGGGGAGTGGGACTCCCAGAATCCCCCCATCAGTGTAAGGGATTGGGGGTTCCCACTACAGTAGATCCCTCATGCTGCCCTAGCCGGGAAGCCCTCCATAAGTGTGGAGGGGGGAGAGAAGACAAGAGAGAAGAAGCCCTTTGCAGGAGGAGAGATTTTGGGAGAGGGAAAGAGCACAGGTAGGAGTAATGGGAGGCAAACAGAAAAAAGCTGCCCTTTACCAGTGTGCGTTCTGATGTGGCCCTGCAGGAGCCAAGGCCTGGAGAAAGCTTTGCCGCAGATCTTGCACACACAGGGGAGGGTATGGCTTCGGATGTGCATCTTGAGGGCCCCCAGGCTGACGTATTCCTTCTCGCAATACTTGCAGCTGAAAGATTTCCTGGTCTGGGAGTCGCAGTGCAATTGTCTGTGCTTGGAAAGGCCGGCGAAGGTGGAGTAGGACTTGTTGCACTGGCTGCAGTGGAATTTCTCCGCTTCCGTGGCGGCGGAGGAGGCCGGGCTGGGCGGATCCGAGGTGGTCTTGCTGTCCTCCTCTTCGCTGGACAGGGAGGTGAGGTCCAGGGGTTTGGAGTCGGGGCTCGGGGGAGACGCGGCGTTTTTTTGGTACTCCGGCTCCGCGGGGAAGAAACTGGAGAAGAGCCCCGCGTCCCACACAAGCGGAGGGTAGTAGGGGCCAGCGCTCAGGAGATCTGGCTGCGGGATGACGGACACCGGGTACTTCTCATACAAAAACGGGGGGACAATCACTGCAGAGAAGCCGAAAGGCAAACAGGTTAGTGAGCTGTTACGTTAAGGCCCAGCATCTCAGCATGCAGAGCAGATGACAGCTCAGATCAAAATCCGGTCTTCCCAGGTCCCTAGCATTTTTATAAAGGGGGTAATCTTCCGAAGAGCTAAATTACAGAACCCGGTGATTAACATGACCAGTGTACCTCTGAGCACACGCAGAGTGCCACAAGGGAAACAGGCATCTAGGAGAAAGCTTGCCTACCCGTGTCTACACAGAAGGAAACCTCGCCAAATTCCTTGGGCTTCCTCCCCACTGCTGGTGGACGGGACTGCAGCAGAAACCCCGCGTCCTGCACCCCACTTACGCCGCCCCAATCCCCGCCTTGCCAGGGCGCAAAGCCTCCCCTAGCGCAGCCCGACTAGCCCCGCTCATCCTCCCCACGTTACTCGGCTC